CAAGGCCTATATAGGCGTGGATTTTTCAAAATAGTTTTTTCAGAGACCTATATAGGCGTGGATTTTTTAAAGAATATTTTTTCAAGGCCTATATAGGCGTGGATTTTTTAAAGAATATTTTTTCAAGGCCTATATAGGCGTGGATTTTTTAAAGAATATTTTTTCAAGGCCTATATAGGCGTGGATTTTTTAAAGAATATTTTTTCAAGGCCTATATAGGCGAATATTTTTTGGCCTATATTTTTTAAAGAATATTTTTTCAAGGCCTATATAGGCGTGGATTTTTTAAAGAATATTTTTTCAAGGCCTATATAGGCGTGGATTTTTTAAAGAATATTTTTTCAAGGCCTATATAGGCGTGGATTTTTTAAAGAATATTTTTTCAAGGCCTATATAGGCGTGGATTTTTTAAAGAATATTTTTTCAAGGCCTATATAGGCGTGGATTTTTTAAAGAATATTTTTTCAAGGCCTATATAGGCGTGGATTTTTTAAAGAATATTTTTTCAAGGCCTATATAGGCGTGGATTTTTTAAAGAATATTTTTTCAAGGCCTATATTAGGCTTGGATTTTTTTTATATTTTTTAAGGCCTCTCTATAGGCGTGGATTTTTTAAACAATATTTTTTCAAGGCCTATATTTTTTAGGCCGTAGGCGAGGGATTTTTTAAGGAGAATATTTTTTCAAGGCCTATATAGGCGTGGATTTTTTAAAGAATATTTTTTCAAGGCCTATATAGGCGTGGATTTTTTCAAGGAATATTTTTTCAAGGCGTATATAGGCGAGGATTTTTTAAAGAATATTTTTTCAAGGCCTTTGTAGGCGAGGATTTTTTAAAGAATATTTTTTCAAGGCCTATATAGGCGTGGATTTTTTAAAGAATATTTTTTCAAGGCCTATATAGGCGTGGATTTTTTAAAGAATATTTTTTCAAGGCCTTTGTAGGCGAGGATTTTTTAAAGAATATTTTTTCAAGGCCTATATAGGCGTGGAGTTTTTAAAGAATATTTTGTCAAGGCCTATGTAGGCGTGGATTTTTTAAAGAATATTTTTTCAAGGCCTTTGTAGGCGAGGATTTTTTAAAGAATATTTTTTCAAGGCCTATATAGGCGTGGATTTTTTTAAAGAATATTTTTTCAAGGCCTATGTAGGCGAGGATTTTTTAAAGAATATTTTTTCAAGGCCTTTGTAGGCGAGGATTTTTTAAAGAATATTTTTTCAAGGCCTTTGTAGGCGAGGATTTTTTAAAAAATATTTTTTCAAGGCCTATATAGGCGTGGATTTTTTAAAGAATATTTTTTCACGGCCTATATAGGCGTGGATTTTTTAAAGAATATTTTTCAAAGCCTCTATTAGGCTTGGATTATTTAAAGAATATTTTTTAAAGCCTCTCTATAGGCGTGGATTTTTTAAAGAATATTTTTTCAAGGTCTATATAAGCGTGGATTTTTTAAAGAATATTTTTTCAAGGCCTATATAGGCGTGGATTTTTTAAAGAATATTTTTTCAAGGCCTATATAGGCGTGAATTTTTTAAAAAATATTTTTTCAAGGCTTATATAGGCGTGGATTTTTTAAAGAATATTTTTTCAAGGCCTATGTAGGCGTGGATTTTTTTAAAGAATATTTTTTCCAGGCCTATGTAGGCGTGGATTTTTTAAAGAATATTTTTTCAAGGCCTATGTAGGCGTGGATTTTTTTAAAGAATATTTTTTCAAGGCCTATGTAGGCGTGGATTTTTTTAAAGAATATTTTTTCAAGGCCTATGTAGGCGTGGATTTTTTTAAAGAATATTTTTTCAAGGCCTAAGTAGGCGTGGATTTTTTTAAAGAATATTTTTTCAAGGCCTATGTAGGCGTGGATTTTTTTAAAGAATATTTTTTCAAGGCCTAAGTAGGCGTGGATTTTTTTAAAGAATATTTTTTCAAGGCCTATGTAGGCGTGGATTTTTTTAAAGAATATTTTTTCAAGGCCTAAGTAGGCGTGGATTTTTTTAAAGAATATTTTTTCAAGGCCTATGTAGGCCTTTGTTTTGTTATTGTCTTTTGTTATCAAAGAAATGTCCTTATTTTTTATGGCGGGCATGATAACTCCTCACTGGAACATCGCAATCCAAAAATTCTAACGGTGTTAGAAAGAGTACATGTCTGGCTCTCGTATGAACTAGGATTTTTGACTTCGCACAACAATTAACAAAATGGCGGAACTTTGAAAAAATTTTTTAAATCGCCTATTTTTGACCACAATCTAAGTTAAACAAGTGAAAAAGCCTTAAGTTCGGCCGGGCCGCACTTTGGATACCCTCCACCATAGTTAGGAACATACCAAAAAGTGGGCATATACCGAAAATTCTACAAACCGATTTATGTAAACCATTATGTACATCAAATACAAACTTCAGCAATTTTTAATGGGGATTTTTCCTAAAATCTGTAAGATCCAAAAAGTGGACTGATATTCATAACGCATGGTAGAGTATAAAATCCTCAAACTACTGTAATTTAGATTAAAAGGTTATATCAGGCTATGCCTAAAGGGGGACCAATATTGATTACATAGTGAAGGAAATAGTGAATATTTGGGGATGTCATTATATGAGGGCTATGCATAATTAATGACCGGTATATGCCAATTTTGAACCAAATATTTTAATTGTTTATCTCAATTCTCTCCTTCAGGAGATATCACTATATTGAGGGTATGCCTAAATGTCTGCCGATATATTTCATTATCATCATGTTTGAGTTTTTTTATCACAATATCTTTAGAAGGCGGAATGCTTACAACAGATGGCTAAATAGTCTTTGTAGGGTAAAAATTGACTATTCCCCGTAACGACTACCATACCGCAACACACGGAACAAATCAGATAACTATTTTAATATAAAAAGGGGGTTATATGGGGACTATCCCTAAAAAGCGGTGAATATTAATAATTTTTGGTGGGGAGATTTGTTACCATATACGACTACAAAATACCAAATTCCAGCGAATTTGGTTGAAATACGCGCTCAAGAACCTCAAAATATCGAAAATTGGGGGTACCCTTATATGGGGTCTACCCGAAAAAATTGACCTATATTTATAATTTTTTGTGAAGAGATTGTGAGAGAACTCAAATTACTAAATTACAGCCAATTAGATTAAAAAATCCGTTCAAACCCCCAAAAACTGCAAATTGGGAGGTACCCCTATATCAGGGCTACCAGAAAAAGTGGACCTATATTTATAATTTTTAGTGGGGAAATTTGGTACCCAATAAGAACCCAATGTACCAAATTTCAGCGAATTCCCTTGAAAACCGCGCTCAAGAACCCTAAAATACGGAAAATTGGGGGGTAACCTTATATGGGGGCTACCCGAATAAATTGACCTATATTTATAATTTTTAGTACAGACATTTGCTACTCAATAAAAACTCAAAGCACCGAATTTCAACGAATTCGGTCGAAAAATGCGATCAAAGCCCCCCAAAAACTGGAAATGGGGAGGTACCCTTATATGGGGGCTACCAGAAAAAGTGGACCTATATTTATAATTTTTAGTGGGGACATTTGGTACCCAATTAGAACTCGAAGTACTAAATTTCAGGGAATTAGTGTAGATTCGAATTATATCAACAAACTTTTTGACCCCGAGAATGAAATCCCAGTATATCTTACCTTAACATTCACATTTTCCTTGGCCGATGTTTCGAAAAATTCCACTCCCAATTGATCGGCCAATTGTCGACCGCGTTCAAATGAAATTACTCGCTGGTCTTCCATGTCGCATTTGTTGCCCACCAATATGACTTGTGCGTTATCCCATGAATAGGTTTTGATTTGAGTTACCCTAAATTCCAAAGAAAATGAAGAAGACAAACATTTGAATACATTCCCTTACAAACAACCAGAGATACTGTTTCTCTATCTCCCCCATTTTTTGTTTCTTACCAATCTTGTACGGAATTAAAACTGTCTTCATTTGTGACATCATACATCAAAATGAAACCCATGGCGCCACGATAATATGCTGTTGTTATTGTTCTATAACGTTCTTGGCCAGCGGTGTCCTGAAAAATGACAAGAAAGTAAGAAACAGATTGTGTAATGATGTCCTTCTCCACACTCACCCATATCTGCAGCTTAACCCGCTTGTCATGCCGAAACACTGTTTTCACTTTGAAATCAATGCCAACCGTTGACACAAAGGCAGATGTAAAACTGTCATCGGCATAGCGGAAGAGGAAACTTGTTTTGCCCACACTCGAATTGCCAATTATCAACAATTTGAACATATAATCGAAATTCTGATCGGAAGCATCTTTTTGCCATTTTGGATCACCAGCTCCGGCCATCTGTAAATAAAAATTGGGTAGAGAGGGAAGAGAAAAGTCATTAATTTTGAAATTAATATTCAAGAAGTTTGCCATTTTCAAAATTTATGTCACGTAGAAGAGATTAATGAAATCCCTGTTTTGTTGTCATCAACTTCAAGTGGGTCTTGTTCTCCTTTTTTTTGCGAAGTTAGGAATAAAAGCAACAAAGATAAAGAAATGATGATTTCATAGGGTGTTTTGCAAGACAAACCAGTAAGGAAAGTAGTAAAGTCGGACGGGGCCGACTATATGATACCCTTCACCTCTATGGGTATATTAAACAGGACTATTAATATGAAATTGGATGAAATAAAATATGTGATATTTATCTAAATGTGAATCTACCTAGATCTATCCATTAACATGTCATTCGTATGTTACAATGGGACAAAAGTATGTAAATCGACTTCAAACAAATATGAATAGGTCATCCGTTGGGGAATGTCTGTATTTCTATAAAACGCAACTACGTAATTCTAGGCTCAATTTTGTACGTTGTGCAGAATTTGATGTCAATCTGACTAACATGAGGAGTTTGATGCCCAATTTACTTGAAATCGGGCGAAAATATATATGGAAGTTCTATCCAAATATTAAGCGATTTCACACAAACTTGTCACAGGTTAGGTTATACTAATTTCAGAACGTTTTGTTCCTATCACCCTATTGGTTACTTGTCGCGTCAATTACTTAAAATCAATCTATAATAAAAGGGAGCTATATCTAAATCATTATCGTTATGCCAAATTTCGTGCAAATCGAAGGATATATGGGGACTTTGGTGCACCCTTTACATGAACTCGGACGAAACTATACATGGGAGCTATATCTAAATCTGGACCGATTTTCTTGAAACTTGGCAGACATCATTCTAGGATCAATTCAGTACGTTATGCCAAATTTCGTGCAAATCGAATGATATATAGGGACTATGGGGCACCATTTACATAAAATCGGACGAAACTATATATGGGAGCTATAACTAAATCTGGACCGATTTTCTCGAAGCTTGGCAGATATCATTCTAGGCTCAATTCAGTACGTTATACCTAATTTAGTGCAAATCAAAGGATATATAGGGACTTTGGTGCACCATTTACATGAAATCGGACGAAACTATATATGGGAGCTATATCTAAATCTGGACCGACTTTCTCGAAACTTGGCAGACATCATTCTAGGCTCAATTCAGTACGTTATACCTAATTTAGTGCAAATCGAAGGATATATGGGGACTTTGATGCACCCTTTACATGAACTCGGACGAAACTATACATGGGAGCTATATCTAAATCTGGACCGATTTCCTCGAAACTTGGCAGACATCATTCTAGGCTCAATTCAGTACGTTATGTCAAATTTTGTGCAAATCGAAAGATATATAGGGACTTTGGGGCACCATTTACATGAAATCGGACGAAACTATATATGGGAGCTATATCTAAATCTGGACCGATTTTCTTGAAACATGGCAGACATCATTCTAGGATCAATTCAGTACGTTATGCCAAATTTCGTGCAAATCGAATGATATATAGGGACTTTGGGGCACCATTTACATGAAATCGGACGAAACTATATATGGGAGCTATATCTAAATCTGAACCGATTCCAACAAAATTTCGCATACATCAGTCGGGAACTAATTCAGTACTCTGCGCAAAATGTTGTTTCAATCGGATCAATATTGGGAGTTTGGTGTACTATTTTCTTTAAATCGGACGAAACTATATATGGGAACTATGTCTAAATCTGATCCGATTTCAACAAAACTTCTCATTCATTCGAAACTACATATCGGAGCTATATCTAAATCTAAACCGATTCCAACAAAATTTCGCACACATCAGTCGGGACCTAATTCAATACATGATGCAAAATTTTGTCTCCATCAGACCACTATTGGGAGTTTGGTGTATCAATACGTTAAAATCGGACGAAAATATATATGGGAGCTATATCTAAATCAGAACCGATTTTAACAAAACTTCGCAGACATCAATCTGGGCCTAAATCAGTACTCTGTGCAAAAATGTGTCCCAATCGGACAAATATTGGGAGTTTGGTGTATTATTCACCGAAAATCAGACGAAACTATATATGGGAGCTATATCTAAATCTGAACCGATTTTCTCCAAATTTCAATAGGGTTCGTCCGTGGGCCAAATAAGTGACCTGTGCCAAATTTCATCCAAAGCGGATAATAAATGCGACCTGTACTTTGTTGACAAAAATACATGGACGGACAGACGGACATGCGTAAATCGAGTCAGAAAGTGATTGTATGCATATTCTCAAAAGGAACCATGAGTCTATCTTGATTCATTTTGCCTGTTACAAACATATGGACAAAGACATAATACCCTGTACCACAGTGTGGTGAAGGGTATAAAAAACCAAATTACAAAGAATTTGGTTGAAAAACGCGCTCAAGAACCCCAAAATACCGAAAATTGGGGGGTACCCTTATATGGGGGTTACCCGAATAAATTGACCTATATTTATAATTTATAGTGGAGAGATTTGCTACCTAATAAGAACTCGACGTACTGAATTACAGTCAATTCGGTCGAAAAATACGATCAGAACCCCCTAAATACCAAAAATTTGGGGGTGCCGTTATATGGGGACTACCAGAAAAACTGGACTTATATTTATAATTTTTAGTGGAGTAATTTGGTACCCAATAAGAACCCACTGTACAAAATTTCAGAGAATTCAGTTATAAAACGAGCTCAAGAACCCGAAAATAGCGAAAATTGGGGCTACCCTTATATGGGGACTATCCGAAAAAATGGACCTATATTTATGATTTTTAGTAGGGAGATTTGCTACCCAATAAGAACTCAAAGTACCAAATTTCAGCGAATTCAGTTAAAAAACGTGCTAAATAACCTCAAAATACTGAAAATTGGGGGGTACCCTTATATGGGAGCTATGTCTAAACGTGGACCGATTTTCTCCAATTTCAATAGGGTTCGGCCTTGGGCCAATTAAGTGACCTGTGCCAAATTTCATCCAAATCGGATCATAAATGCGACCTGTACTTTGTTAACAAAAATACATGGACGGACGGACGGACGGACAGACGGACGGACAGACGGACATGCATAAATCGACTCAGAAAGTGATTCTATGCATATTCTCAAAAGCAACCATGGGTCTATCTCGATTATTTTTGCCTGTTACAAACATATGCACAAAGACATAATACCCTGTACCACAGTGTGGTGAAGGGTATAAAAATGAGGCATTCTTACACAATATTTTTAGAAAAGATTTTTTTTAAAGGACTAAATCCATCAATTTCATTTTGTAAAGAATATTTTTTCAGGAATTAGAATGTAGTTTTCGAGGACTAAACAAGGCGTGGATTTTAAAGAATATTTTATCCAGGACTAACTAAAGGCGATGACTTATTAAAGGATATTTTTTCAAGGTTTCTACAGGCGTTGAATTGTTCAAAGGATATTTTTTCAAGGTTTCTATATGCATAGATTTTTGAAAGAACGTTTTAAAGATTCTATAGACTTGGATTTTTAAAGAACATTTTTCAATGATCTACAGGTGTTGATTTTTTAAAAAAATATTTTTTCAAAACCTCTACAGGCATTGATTTTTTAAAGAATATTTCAAACAAGCGTGTTTTTTATACCCTACACAACTATGTTTTCAGGGTAGGGTGCAGGTCCAAAAATGTGTGTGTTAATATTTAAGGGATGAAATGGGCCAAAAACGGTATTTTTGTCGGTTTTTCTGGTCACTCCTGAGGCCGCAAGTATGGCCCAAACACCGCGAATTTTTGCATTGAGAAGGGGATCGGGCCAAAGAATAAACATGCTTGTTTTCATAAAGATCGGTCAATATTTAGCAGGTGAAATAAACCCTGACTTTTGTGTGAAAAATGACAACATTTGTATTCTATGCCGTAAATATATTCTCCCCTGAACGACCAAGGCTCGAGAAGTTTATAGCGTGTTCAAGAGGAGTGGTTGACCTTGAAATTGATACCAATTATATGGTCGTATGTACTCAGATGTGGGAGTTCCACTTAAATATTTACAGGTGCTTACGCATTCAGACATTATTTAGTAACCCAATACCACACTAGAGGGCGGAAATATAGCGCTGATCGCTTTGAAAATTTCCATGAGATTCCAGTTATGGTCAAGAACAACGCCTATAATTTTCGGTGATGATCACATAATAATTTTGGGATGAAGTCGACCGAAAACTTAAATTTGAAAGCCGCCCTCGTCTACTGAATATTGCTAATATTTGTTGACCTTTAGTCGGGTGTCAAGATGGTGCAAACAACGCAAAGTTATATTTTCGTGGAAGTTGTGTAGAGTATTATATGGTTGGCCCCGTCCGACTATACTGCCCCGCTCACTGGTTTTATTTTAAGAATATTTTTGAAGGACTCATTAGGCGTGTTTTTTATACCCTCTACCACACTGTGGTACAGGGTATTATGTATTTGTGTATATGTTTGCAACAGCCAAGAGGAAACGAGATAAACACATGGTTCCTTTTGAGAATATGCATAGAATCACTTTCTAAGTCGTCTGTTGGTGTAAAATTGTAAACAAAGTACAGGTCGTATTTATAATCCGATTTGGATAAAATTTGGTACAGCTCATTTGTTTGGCCCAAGGACGAACCCTATTGAAATTGATGCAAATCGGTCCAGATTTAGATATAGCTCTCCTATATATTTTCGTCCGATTTAAAGTAAATGGTGCACCAATGTCCCTATATAGTATTCGAGTTGCACGAAATTTGACATAGCGTACTGAATTGGGTCTAGAATGATGGGTGCAAAGTTTAGTAAAAATCGGTTTAGACTTAGATATAGCTCCCGTATATATTTCCATCCGATTTAAAGTTAATGGTGCACCAAAGTCCCTATATATCTTTCGATTTTCACGAAATTTGGTACAGCGTACTGAATTAGGTCTAAAATGATGTGTGCAAAGT